TGAGAGTCAATCCCTGACATTGAGATAAAAATGATTACAGACTTAAAAACTTTGAGTTAAACATTAAAATGACTAAAAACTATTGGAAATCTCGATGGAATATTCCAGGGGAATTTAGCTCGCGATACATATTATTGAAATTCCGTACATTGTTGAAATGTATATAAAACGTGACCGTGTATATAATACTTACTAAATTCTATATTAAGACTGTACTTGTTTTAAAATAATCAAGGACTAACAAATATTCCTTAATATTGACACAACCCGTTGAATTTGAATTGCATTTGCTGTTCGTATATAAAATTGATTGCAATGGAAATGATCTCAATATGTTATATATTGCGGACATTTCATCCATTATTTATACCTTTGTGTATTACCAGTGAATGTATGCCTAAGACTAAGATATAACACCTCTGAGGAAATGAATTGCAGGGATTGTGCACTAAATTCTTAATAAATTGCAAATCACTGAAAGCTATATAAAGGACAGTGTATTTGTTGTGCAAATCTCTCTTGTAATGCATATTAAAACTGAATGTTATGTGAATTTGGTTTTCAATAATATATTACCAATTATTTTATTTGTGAACAAATTTATAATATTATTTAAGTACTTAAAGGGGAATTATTTTTACTTGAAATGTTCCTATTAATTGTAATATAAAAATGTGGACAATTGTCATGGGAATTATCCATGGTCAAAATCAGTAAATGGTCATAGACTTTTGAGTACTGGCTAATTTACACGTGGGATCTTATAGCATTACATTTATGTAACATAATGAATGTTCTATTTTTAGAATTTTCATATAATTTATATGAAAATTTTGATGATAGAGAAATCGGTGACAATTGTGTACATTTTCATATCACTATTAACAGGGCTGTCAATTTGATCCAAAACCAATTTCCCCTTAATGTAAATCCAAATTATATTATCCTTTACTTTGTAAATTGATTTTCATGATACTGTACATGCCTACTAGTAATTTACCTACCAACTTACCACCAAATATTGTTATCATAACTATAAAATTAGGCATTATAAGTACTTATTATATATGTATATTTTTACAAAGTTTAATAAAAAAAATATATAATAAATTTACAAAATCAATTCCTATGGTATTGAGCAAAAAATTGTTATTGCATTAAAAATGAGACAAATTTGAGATTATAGTTATTAATGAGATTCACATCTAATGGATAGCATAAAGAGAGATGGCATTCATATAATTGTGATTTATTGTACCATTGATTCATGATTTAAACATTTTTCAAAATCAAAATTCAAATTACTTAATATGATTTGAATATCAGAGTCTATTTGTGTAAATTGAGTTTTTAAAATAAAAATATACATTAAGTCTTTATATGGAAATTAGAAATTGTTGACAAAATGTGCTCTATATTGCAGTTGAATTTTAATGTGGAATATTCTGTACATTTTGTTATCATGTGAAAATATGTTATAATTTAACTCAAAAAATATTCAATAAAGTTTGAGGATTAGAGTGGGGATTAAAAAGTGCAGTTACAATCCCTTACCTTTTCATCCATTTCTAATTTATTCAAACAGATTTATATTACATGTAATGTTTGTAATATTTTCTTTTATTATATTATTTCATTTTGTGATTTTGAATTCAATACAACAATAATTAAAATATAAAATATTTTATATCTTTTTAAATATGTAAAATTAATCATAAAAATGGGTTTATATTTACAAAACCAATAATTACTTTTAAAACAGTGTATTTATTTGAGTCAATTTATGGTAGATATATTAAATAGATACGTAAATCTGTCAACTAACTAGATAACAATTTATTGTCAATAAATGCCAAAAACCAATAATTGTGGAAACGTTATAAAGTTTAGAGTAATGCCAAATGACATTAATTTTATATAAGATTTTTAGTGCTATTTAATGGCAATTCAACAGATCTTAAGTAATCTTTCAGCAGATGTTTCGCAACTCTAATACATTTAATACTTTAATTTTAAATGTACGTAAATATTTATAGTTATATTACTAGAATTAAATCCAAATATAATACTTCTATATTGGAAATCAGCTTTTGTCAAATCCAGTAAACGTGTACGAAAATCAATAAATTCAATTTAATCGCGTTCATTTTTAAATAAATCAATTCAAATGAACATGATTGTTTAACTATTCAATTAAGTGACCATTATTTCTAATATATCCTTGGTTATCAGTGCTCACTTGTTGTACGACTTACAGATATTCCAATACTTATTGATAATAAATATAATGTTTTAATTTATCATGTTATTATGATATTGTCATACATTGTTTTGAAAATCAATACATTTATTATTTAACAGTTTTAAACATTTTTTATTGTTTTTATCAATTATTAAAAATAATAAATAATGTAACAAATATGTTATTTAAATAATTGTGTTGTATTATAATTTAGAGGTCATTTATTTTCAAATATTTTATAATTTATCAATAATTACTTAATATATGTAATAACAAACCAAATAACTAAAATTTGTACTTTAATTACAATTAACAATAAATTGAGCGCAAACTTACAAAATTAAAATATTTAAATTAAAATATTTTAACAAATATGACTATGTTAACATTTTGATAAAGTCTTTATATATTTAATAGTACCTTTATAAATAAATATTCATTTACTAATTAATAAGAAACAATCTTTATATTAGATTACGTTTACAAAACTCTAATTAACAGATAATACTAAAATGAAAACGTGGTAAGACTGAGATATTAGACGGTGTCCTCGATGTCGACAGAATTGCTAGTTTTTAAGCCATTTATTGCAAGACTCGATGTCTTCCTTACGATCCGATGAGAACTCTGTCTGAAGGAGGCGTAGAGAGTGTTGGGAGAAGTGTTTGATTGGTTGCCATCTCTGGAGATGCGATGACAGCGACAGAAGACGAAGCGAAAGAAGTTTCGGATCCCTTCCCTGAAGTATGAGTTACAAGGGGCAATACATCGCTCAGCCGTTTTCCAAACGGATAGATTATTGCCTGATGTCTGTCCAGTCCTATCACACACATGGTTAGTGTCGAGGCATAGCTGTTGACAAAAAAAACATCTCTATTATTAAAGGATTTGATCATTTTATTTGCAGACTTCAACTTAAACTTATTTATAATGCATTAACTTAACAATAACCACATGATTAAAAGCATTGTGTCCTTTTGATTCGTTATAGTATTTGTTATAAATTATTGATTATAAAATAAGGGATATATAAATCCTATGTTCATAAGTGTGCGGTAATTATACCTAAATACATTGTATAAGACCTTATGATATACAATATGTAGTAATAATTATTGTTTCAATAAATTCTGTACATGTTATGTATGTTTAATGAGATGTTACAGTCTAATCGTTATTTAACTAGATCACAAATTATTTAATAATTTGTCTACATAAATATTAGTAAATATTTATCTACATTATATGTAATACAGAATCAGAAATATAATTGTAAAAACATAAATTAGTTAATTGAAAATAAATTGTACCATCTTGGGATAACATATTTAAATACTTAATTTAATACCCAAACAGTATTATATAAGTGGTTTCAAATGAGACTGTTTTATGTGCAAAATGTGATTGGTAATAAAAATAAAATACTTCAATTAAATAGTTTGCAATTTCAACATTACAACATGGTATCATTAATTTGAATATTTATTTAGTTAATTCAAACATGTTGACATATACCATGGGACGGCAGAAAAGGGAAAAATTATATTTAACATATGAATATTGTATGAATAACATAGGGCTATTTTTCATTTTTGAAGCCTTTTTTGAAGCACTTGCCTTTGCATGACATATACTGTCATAGTGTATACGTTATATCAAAAGTCTCTTAAGCCTAGTTTAATTAAATTATAAAAACGTCTAAACTTTTATTTTTTATTTTATTTTAGTATTAGTTCAGAGATTACTTTAGGTCACGGATGAGCTCTCGAGCAAACTTTGGGCAAATCTGTCTTATCATTTATTTAATACATTATATTCAATAATACTATGCAATAATTCAGATAATTATTATTCATTCATTGTAAATTATTCATTTGGATCATAGTTTGTCCAGTATCAAAGTGATTTTGAATTGCCCCATATTATGTATACCACGTGACCAAAATCTACGGATGAGGTATGAGGAAAAATGGCGGATATGACACTCTTATATACTTTTTACAGAATGCAATTACCTTATAGTTTTAAAGTTATTCAAAATCTATGAGCGAACGAATTAATTTACCGCTTAATTTACATTACAATATACAGTATAAAACTTATACTATAAGTATATATTGAACTTCTAAAAATTATAACTCTAGACACTATATTATTTATGTTCAAACATTTTATAATCATTTTTAAGTATTTCATTGTACTAATTTAATTCTCAACGAGTTAAAATATTTTATAAAATGTAACATTAGATTAGTATGGTGGAATGAAATATACGAAGTTTATAACATTCTATGCAATTGTATGTAATTAAATTTAATGTAATACTTTACAATCTTTTATTCTTATAACTTCTAATATAATATAATTATTGTGTACTTTAGATATATAGTTTGATGTAGAGATGTACAATTGACAAATTATTAAAACAATAATTTACACATTTAAACTAAATAACATCCATTATTTTATTTTGAATTATATTTCTAACATGTTAATGTCCCACATGTAAGTTATGGGGCATTACATTGTATATAAAATTCTGTGATAAATATTTAATTTAAATGTAATATACACTAAATATACTGCAATTTCAGGTGTATCTGTAATAATAATAAGTATTTAATGCAGATTTATGTATATATGACTGGAAAATATGTTAAATATAATTTAAAGTAATTCAATTATAAATAATTAAAAACATCTCAAGGTTGTTAATGATCTTTATTTGCCAAAATTTTCATTTCTGTGTTATAATTTTATTACAACAAAATATTTAAAATATATATAATTAATTATAATTAACTACATAAATAACTAAATCATCACGATTACCTTAACAAACTATGTGCTATTATTCACTAACTATTTACTAATTTACTAATTGCTATTAACTGCTATTACTTCCTAACATGTTTATTGCCTAATTTTATATATTAATTGTAGTCTATCTTATAATTATAATGAATTTACTTAGACATTAAAGCATGAGTAAAAAACAAACAAATGATATAATTTGGAGACTTTCAATAGCCAGACATATAATGTATTATAAATGACAAATTAAATTAGAAATAACAAAATAGTCTTACACCGAGCAAACCTGAATGAATGGCACAAATTGGCACAGAAACTGACCAAATGGCCAATTGTCCATGATAATTCTGGCCGTATTGAACGGTATGTTAATCGATGTCATCAATAGGTCGGAAACGGTTAGGTTTGCGATATAATAGTTGGTTACGGTTCTCATCCGACGTTTACTGAATATTATGTAAATGACGAGTGAATTACCCAATAATGAAATGACAAATATTAGTGAATATATGGTAATAATTGTGACATTTTTCCAATAGTTTTGTCGATAGAGTTCTTCCTCGAGATTAGGATTACTTTTAATCAATTCTTCCCAGAATTCCGGTTCAAAACGAAAGTCAATAGTTTTGCTGTTATTATCAGTTTTATTCATATTTTCTATAATTCCCGACTTAATTAACCTCTGATTTAAATAAATACTTGTTTAATAACTTTTATTTATATTATTTATTATTTAATAAATAAACTGTGTTTTTAAGTAATTTATAAAGTACTTTAATAATGTGAAAAGTTTTGAACAAATGTAAGAATAATACCAGTTATTAGAAATAAAACCAAATATCACTTATTAGTAACATATCAATGACTCGTAGTTATAACATGGAATATACAACAATGTAAACATTTAAAATGATCACAACAAGCTCATTTTTAAAATATAAAGAATACTTTAGAAATATTTAAGTTAATAAGATGTAAACTCAGTAAAGAATAAGCTAAACAAGTATGAAAATATTGAATTGGTAAATTTTTAATAAATTTGACAGTCATTAATATGAAACTCGTTTTTACAATAATATCATGAACAAATTATATATTGCATTCTAATGCATTAAAATATGCATTAAAAGCGTATTATTAATTTAATATTTTTAAAAAATAATGGTTTACAAAAATAATCATCACATAAAACGGATTATACAATCGTTTTGAAGCATTTTAGGCGACAAACTAATGATTGTCTGCAGAGAACACTCTTTTCTCTCCAAATGTGAAGCAAAAAGAGATGAAACACCAAATTATGTGTTCACTGAATGCTCACTGAATTTAATG